AAAAATTATGTCAAGTCCTTCAAGCGTTCAAAGCTTGAAGAGGATGTTTCAATTTCTTCCAATAGTGACATTTGCACTTGATATTAAATCTAGCATTGGTTTTTGTGACTTAGTATTTGGCAGCAATAATTGGATTAAAGATGAAGCAAGGGTCGATCTTCGGAAGATGGTTCTGTTCACCAATGAAGTTGCAAAGAAAGAGAAAACTACATATATGAGCAATTTCACTGTCACCATTGTTGCATTCATCTTTGAAACCACAGAAAAATCACAAAAACTTGCTATTGAAGTCTTCAAGAAAATAAATGAATATATGATCTCTACAACACCTCCACAACACACTATTCTCATATTTGATCCCAGAAGAGCCATCACTTACTTCATTACATGTTGCCTCCCCATTATTAAAAATTTCAGAATTGTGTTGCATATAATTTGTCTTGTAACTTTCATTGTCTCATTCACAGTTTGACATTTCATTTTTTTTTTAATTTCAAGCTAGTTATGATTACCATTGCCTTGAGGGGGGATATTAGAGAATATAATTAGTTAGTTTGTTATGAAGTTTGTTACACCCAACAAACTTTTATAAATAAGTGCAATTGTAATTCATTTGAATTATCTTTTGATCAATATGAAATATTCAGAGAATTATTCTCTCTATTTGGCTTATGCTCGTATTTTTCATCCTTTCCATACTCTAATTTCCAACATCATAAAGAAACACAACAATATAGGTTATATCGATGAATGTTGAAACGACTTTCTTACGGTTTTAACATAGGAGGTCACCCTTGAGGTGTAGATAGGAGGTGGCATGAATGGATAAATATCAATTAGCTTATACATACAAAATCAAAATTGACAAAGTTTTCTAGTCAAATAATTGAAGAACAAATTTTGAATTTTGATATATTGTTGTGGCTTACATGACTTTTTTAAAATTGAGTCTATAAATATTTGAAATCGAGTCAAATTAGTCGAATAGTTAAAGGTTGTTTTAAGTAATGGTTGAAAAATACAAAGACATGACAATAACTACTTAGACCAGTTAATTTACTGATATACAATCATGTACCCAAATTTTGAAAGACACACAAACAATTAGATAATTATCTCTTTTAGAGATGGACAATCCTTAAGATTATAAGTTCATATCTACCATCGAGATAATTACCTCTTTTAGAGATGGACACTCCTTAAAATTATAAGTTCATATCTACCATCGGGATGAAAGAAAAAATGTAAAACAAAGATAAAGTAATGAATGATAAGAAAGATTATTATGTTGAAATGTTATGTATGTCATGATTTAAATGTTATATATGATATGTATGCGATGTTGTGTTCATAGGGCACTCACTGAGACTTATTAAAAGGAATTTAAGAAAATATGGTTTTATTTTATATTTTTTTATTAGACATTTTATTAAAATTTGTTTAGAAAGATAAAGTTAAAAACCCAGTGGGATTGCGAAAAATCTCTTGTTTACAAATGTATAGTTAGATTTAATAAAATGGGTAGGATTTAGTTTAATTTCTTCATTTTTCACGATAAGTGTTTATACATGTATTATGGTACCCTGCGTTGCATTTGGTATTAGAGTAGTTTAATTCAAGTTAGACTATGGTTACTACAACTGAAATTATATATTATGATTTTTTCTTGTTTTGTTATGTCATAATTTATAGTTGTTTTATCATGAAATATTGGACTCCATCACCTTACTATTTTGTGTATTTCAAATGAGACATATGGCTAGGGAAACTCAAGAGAGGGTAGTTAGGAGTGTGCAGTAAAAACATGACATTAAGAAGAGAAAAAGTTTAGGATCCCAATAACCTAAGAAACCAAAGAAAAATAAGATTTAGGATAAGAGAAAAAAATGTAGAATTAAGGGATGTCTCAATTGTAGAAAAATCATAAAAGAGTGTACTTAGATATGTGAATCTAAACATCAAATTTTGAGGACAAAATTTATTTAAGAGAAATAGAATGTAATATTCTCTTTGACACGAGTCTCTCTTTATTCTCAAACGGTGGTGTCAATCTCTAATAAAGGGAGGTTTTAAGACAAAAATAAGGGGGAGCTCATTAAGATAGATTATATAAGTTCATATGTCACACAAAGACTTAAAAGATAAAGTAAAATAAAAATAAGGTAATAAATGTTTAGAAAGATTAATATGTTGAAATGATATGTATGTCATCATTTAAATGTTATACATGATATAATATGTATAGTTCTTAATTCTGAATCATAATATTGTAGGAGTAACTATAATAGATAAAAAAAAAAGTGAACTTTTCCTATTTCCACCATGGAAAACTTAATTTGCATTGAGGATGTTTGTTATATGAAAAACTTATACTTTATAAAAAATATGAAATTAAAAATATTAGTTTTTTGTATTTGATTTATTATTTAAAAAATAACATTTATAAGAAATTTTATTTTCTGAGGTTAAAAATAGTTTTTTTATAAATTTTTCACAAAATTATTCTTATAGATGTGACAAACTAATTTTTCTAAGATAAAAATAAGTTTTAATATAGTAAAAACATTATGTTACTTTTAAAAACATTAAATAATTTTTTTATGGCCAATCAAACATATTTTTATAATTATCTTGCATGAAAAAATTTGTTATGTAATCAAACGTCTCTTCTGTGTGCAAGCTTTTATAGATAATCTATGAATTTGAATAGACAAAAATTAACTCAATAAATATAAATCGAATTATTTCAATATTCGAATCAAACTAAACTCGATCTAATCAAAACTCTTACTTAATAATGAGTTTAGTGAATTTGAGTTATAATATTGTACAATATAAAATATTGAATTTAAATTATATTTTGTATTAATGTTAAATATTTGAGTTAATAATAATATAATAAATTAATAAATTTATTTTAAAATTTAGTATATATTAATATCTAGGCTAAAAACCTATTTCGGTCCTTTATAATAATTGTTTGTTTCAATTTAGTCCCACTTTTATTTTTGGTCTCAATTTGGTCCCTAATAAATTAATTGGTTTCAATGTCGGACTTCCGTCTAAATTATTTAAATGAAGTTAACTATTGGCCACGTGGATGCCACGTATATGCATAGGTGGATGCCACGTGAATGCCAAATTTCTTGAAAACACCTGGAACCAGAACGACCCGTTCTGAAACTATAACGGGCCGTTCTGGATGCACTATTGGTGTGTTAATTTTGCATCTGAAACGGGCCGTTCCAGATGCAAAATTAACCCACCACCAGTACATCCTGAAACCAGAACGGGCCGTTTTGGTTTCAGAACGGGCCGTTCTGGATTCAGAACGATCCGTTCCAGAACGCCAGTTAAGTGAAAATAATAGAATATTCTATATTAATTTTATTAAAAATACAATAATTTTGAAAAATATTTTTTTTATGGTAAAAATTTTAAAATTACTTATTTTTATAAAATACAATTG